GCCGCGGGGAGCCGCAGGGCATGCCCGGGCCTGTCCCACCGCCCCAGGGGCAGCGGGCTCCTCCGTGGGGACGGCGACGGTGACGGGTTGTGGCCGGGCCGGGCGGTCGGGGTCTGGATCAAGCCTGGTGAGGGTAACGGGGGGGTCAGACACAGCCCCACAAGGGCCAGGCAGCGCCGTGGGGACGGCGACAGGGCCGGGCAGCCGGTACTGCAGGAACTGGACATGAACTGAAATTATACATCAGGAGCTTCGATAAAAGGAGGCATCTGATAAAAATAAGCCTTTTTTTTTTTTATCGAGTACCTACTTAAGCTGTGGAACATATTGTCACAGGAAGAGACTGAGACCAAGGGCTTGAGACGATTCAAGAGGGTTCGGGCAGTCGGGTTATGTAGGAAGACTGTCCAGATTTGGCATAATTTAGGACAGATTTCAGAGATATTTTAAAGGTTGTGCTCTGGGGAAGAAGCGAGTCTCTTAGGAGATCAATTTGAGATTTACAGCAGAGAAGTAGTATATATATCATATTATCACACTGCCCTCTTAAGCCACTGTTAAAGACAGGATACTGATCTGCATAGATTGCCAGATTGATAATTTATGACAATTCCTATATTCTAGGCTGAGAGCAGCCACAAAAAGTAGCAGTGTGCGTGTGAAGGTTATGTGATTTTAGATTTTACAAGGGCTTCAGCAATTTAGCTGCTGACAAATGAAAGCACATCTGACCTTAGCATCTTTCAATCAGTGAGGCTCCATCCTTCAGGAAATAGGAATAACTGACAAAAATGTTATTACTTCCACAAATTAATTCAGGTTTCCTGCTCTTTTGTCTGGTACATAGCCTTTTGTTCTCTCTTCGCCCTGTCCTCCTTTTTTCTTCCTGCATGCATAAGAAAGAGGAATCCTCCATCGCTTAGGTAGTCTCTTGTACTTATGAACCCAATTCAGCATTAGAACATTTCTGACGACACGTGAAAAATCGCCTCTGGATGTGCCAGCGTATCAGCACGGAAAACAATAAGCAGGGAATGAAATCTCATGACAACTGACATATTAATTCAGACAAAATCCATACAAGAATTACAGTATGTGAACATGGAAAGAAAGCTGCCATTCGCACCAGCTAGCCTTATGCCATTCACAGTCTGAGTGGCAAAATGTGGTTCCTCAAAGTACACAGGCTATCATTTGTGACCTCAAGGGATTCCTGGATGAGCTTTAAAGAGAAGGTTGCATTAGTTGTATTATGCTTTTCCCATAAAGCAGACATCTGTGTAAAAGGTAATAAAATAGAAACCTGTTTCCTTCTATACTTCCAGCTCTTTTTTTACCCAGCAAAATGCCTAAGCAGTTCAGGAACTATCCATTCCATGGGATCCATTTGCCCATCACTGAAATGCAGACATTTCTAGGTTGCATGCAGCTGCTGCGTGACCCAGTATTGAACAATGTGAACATTTTATATGAAGAATACTAACTCAGAATATTAACCCCTGCTGAAACCGCATGGCAACTAGAAGCAGTAACGGGTGGACTCAGTGGTTCTCAAATATTGTCCTGCTGCAAACAGTTCCTCAAACCTTTCATGGATTCTGTTTTTTTTTTCCAGTGTCTCAATCCTTCTCTCACTATTTTTCCAATGAGTACTGCAGCTACCAGAAAAAAAAATGTTGACTAAAATTACAGTGACTCTGGGAAGCAGTGTGAAATCGAGTTCGTTTCAACAGGAGGTGTGAATCTGCTTTGCTGCACCCCGTCATTCTGCACCTGTGCTCAGCATTCACCTGCCAGAAGTACTGGAGCTTTACATTTGTTATTGCTGAGTCTTTTTCTGATGCGTACAGACATTTAATTCTCTCTCCAGGTCACTCTGCATGTTGGTTCTCTCCTCTCACTTGTTTGTTACCCTCCTGCTTTCAGCACTGGCTGAAAGTTTGCTCATAGCTGGATTTACATCACAGACACCCGACACAGAAAGACATCAAACAAGTATGCCTATTTCGGAGTCAAACTGGTCAAAAAAAAGAAAAGGAAAAAAAAAAGCATCTGGAAATCTTAAATGAATCTTGACCTGAGCTCCAAGTAACAGCAAGAGATCACAGCTTTGAGACTGACAAGTGCTTCACCACTGTGACAGCAGCAGTTTTAGCAGATTATAGTTTGAGAACTGCTGAGTTTGCTGAGTCAGCATAATTGACTGCCTGGGAACTCTGTGCTAATTGCTTGAATGCCTATGCAAAGGTTTTGCCTGGTTTTCTCCTGCTATTCTCAGCAAGAATTAGGGCTGGACTGCAGATGAAAATTTGGATCCAAGTGAACCTGAACTTTCATAAAATCAAGCGCACTTCACTGCTGGCTTTATCATAGGATGGGACTATTCAGACCTACCTTCCAAACACCTCCAGGCTTTGGAAATTGAATCCAAATTTTAACACAGTAACCAGGCTCATCAACTAAACACCGTTAAATAGTTCTAACTGGGTACAATGGAAGACGTGTAGCGAGGTCCAGGATGAGCGTTCCAGTGCTGATCCTCATGAACTTCATGAGCTATCAGTGCCCTCATTTATACCAATATGGCACCAATCTCTGAATCATGCAGTGAAAAATCATTGGTACTTAGGCTGTACGGTTTTTTCCCTTGTTATGTCAGGAGCAAATTATAGTCTGAAGTGAGTGCTGCTGCTTCAGCTTAGCATCCGATATGCTTGCTTTCGTGATGTAGTGTTCTTAGGGAGTGATTAATGAGAATTCCTGAGTCAGAGCCTATAACTGTGATGAGCATTAACAGATAAACTTACAAAAAGAAGAGGATAAAGCTCCTGAGAGAGGGAAAATACTGGTATCTCAGTCTGGTTGCTTATATATTGGTCTCAACCAGGTTGTCTAGGGGTTGTTACATTTCAGGCCAAGTGTTTTAAAGCACCAAATGTATTTATTCATGAGACTGATGGAACATGTTTATAGCCCGCACTGACCCTACAGAAACCAGTGGCTAACTCCTCTGTTTTCATCAGGCAGGACCAGGCACAGAATTCATATGTGGAATGCTCATTTTCTTCTGTGGACAAAATCAAAACTGTCTGCAGTGTGTTTCCGAGCAGAAAGAAGAAGATGCAGAAATGCCTGAAATATAAACAAACCTGGTGGTAGCTCCCTGTGTGTTGCATGGGGATATTCAAGTAAATACTCCCCAGGTCATCAGTACCTTTGAGCTCATGCCTAACTTTAAGCAAGTGCTTGAGTATCACTGCTTTCCCTTGAACTTTAATGGGCCTTTGGGCTACTGTTCAAGGATAAATCAATATTTATGTTCCTTGAAAACCTGAGATGGGCTTGCTCATGCCTTTTTTGCTGTGCTGCATCAGGGCTTAAAATGCCTGTCTAAATATTTCAAGCACATATACAAAAATAAACCTAATCTTCTGCCAATATTCCACCTCTCTGATCTCGTGACTTCCAGGGCATAAATGACTGATCTTTCCAGTGATCTAACTTACAAATCCAGTTTTAGAAGGCACCAACAGCTAATCACTCCCACAGCTAGAATACCTGAGTTTCTGCATCTCTGTTGCATGTGACTAGCTTGGAAAATGAAGTTAGAGTTATACAATAAAAGCAATTTAATACATGATTTAGAACTTTAACCATCTTACTACAAATTAATTTGCATGCCTGCAAACCTTTACTTGTATGAGCAACTCTGTCTGTTTTGACGAGGATGGAATTATTAGTGAGATTTGGCCTGCTGACTGTAGAAATGATTGTATCATAAATCAGTGATAATATTTACCTGAAATGTAGCAGTTCCATTCATTGTTCAAGAAAAAACATTTTTTCTGTCTTTTCTTCTTCTTTATCGCTGTTGAATCTTGCATTTTTGAGGAAAGGGAGAGGAGTATCAAACCTTGAATATCTCAGTCTGTTATTACAATGTGAATAAAACTGTAAGACTACCTTACAATAGGTATTTGGGATGGAAGAGTGAGTCAGCAATGGAGGATTGTCTATGCAATCAAATAATTGATCAGACTCAGATCTGGTTACCTACCAGAAATGAAATCATCGCTGAGGCTTAGACAGGCCACTGCTCCCTCTGTAAGGGACTCTGACCCCTGACAGAAGTTCAAGCATCTTTGACTGATGGAAAGGTTGCAGTGCTTAGTATTCTACAGAACTGGGTCTTACAATGTAGACTCACAGAAAAATGTAGATTGGAAGAGGCATCTACAGGTCTCTAGTCCAACCTCCTGCTCAAAGCAGGGCTAGCTTCAAAATCAGATCCAGTTGCTCAGGGCCTTGTCAAATTTTGAAAATTTCCAGGGGCAGAGACTGAACAGGTCCTTTGGGCCTCTGACCCAGTGATGCACCAAGCCCACTGGGATGAATTTTTTTCCTTATTTCCAATCATTATTTTCCTCATTGCTGCTTATGACTGTTGTCTCTTATCCTTTTGCTATGCATCTCTGAGAAAAGTCTGGTTCTGTCTTCTCCATAATCCTCCTTTAAGGTGGTGGAAGACTGCAGTTGTATTCCTTCTTAGTCTGCTCTTTTCCAGGCTAATCAGACCCAATTGTGCCGGCTTCTTCTTGTACATCATATCCTCCAGCCCCCTGTCTTAGTAGCCTTTTCTGGAAGCCCTCCAGTTTGTCAGTATCTCTCATGCTATGGCCCCAAAACGCTGGCTGTAGGGTCACCTACTCAGCCTCCAGTCTGTCCTCTTGCATGGGGTACTTCCGGCCTGGATGTAGGACGTCACATTTGTCTTTGTTGAACTTCATGAGGTTCCTACAGTTTGTTGAGGTCTTTCTGAATGGCAGCTCTGCCCTCCACTATATCAACCATCCCTTCAGCGTGGTGTCATCTGAGGAGGGTGCGTTGGGTCTCATCATCCAGGGCCATATGGCAGAGCAGGAGGATAACATGTGGAGTTAGTCAGCAGGTGATAACTTTCAGATCATCTGGCAGGAATATAATCCAGAGTCCATGGAATACTTTTGGCCTTTTGACTAGACTGAATATACAATACACTGTGCAGTATATGCTAGTTAGAAATATATGTAATGCATTTTGATATACATATCTAAATGTGCATTTATCTAGTAAAGGTAGTTCTGATGGACAACTTTGTATGGAAAATAACATAGATAATCAGTTATAGATAACCGTAATCTATACAGTTAGATACATATAGCATAGCGGTTAGAATCCTCTGAGTAGAAGCACCGTAACATCACACTGCTGAAGCTCAATGCCTGACCCTGCCTGACCCAACTGCCCAGTTTTTCACTGCTGCACCACATGCCTTCAGAATTCACTACAAAGCCCTTGGCTGGCTTTGCTGTCGTGCCTGATGTTTGAGATGTAACTGTTATATGTTGCGGCATCCAGGCTGAAGGAAAGACATGATGTTTTGCAGAAGATGTCGTAGGGTTTTTAATTGCTGAAAACGCAAAGCAGAAAGCCTCTCTCTTCCTGCACCAGCCCACTCTGCTGCAATCATTTTTCTTTATTGACATCTTTGGCTGTGCCTGTGAAGGGAAGCAGATACTCTCAGTTAGGAAGCAGTGCGGTGTACAGGATAATGCTATGGTATTCTTAGCTTTCATTTAATGTAATGGTTGTGGTATCCCACAATCTTTTTGCTGAGGAACCATAAGCAAAAAGGTAGCTGTCTCTCCAACATTTTTTAAACAGAAACAGGCTACACGCTATGGTAAAGTCCAGCCCAACCTCTTCCTGGTGTTTAGGTTTACCAATCATAAAATAACAATGAATATTCATATTTCACATATTACCAGCTCTTCTTAGGACAGCTCAGCCTAGGCCCAAGATTCCCTCTCATCACAGAACAGCTTCCACCACCCTTCTCTTTGGGTGGAAGGGAAGAAGTCACCTTGCCCCAATGAATCAGGCAGTGAAGAGGACAGAGAGGGCTCTCTGCAACAGACCTCCCTCTTTTTATACTTTACGAGGAGGTCTCCCTGATGCGGGGCCTTCTGCTGTATTGCCAAGTCACAAAAGGGTGCATTTCCACTCAAGAGGGAACAGAGCTACAATGTGCAGATCTAAGCTACGTTCTCCTAGAGAGGCAGGCAGAGCTGTTGGTTTAGGGTTACATTTCAGGTTTGTTGTTGAGAAATGTCGCAGTCTGTGAAGTTCTACCCACCCTGTGTAAGAATTTGAAGCCAAGTTTTCCCCAGCATAATGGATCTGTCTGCATCAGTTCCAATAGGCCTATTTCTGAAGACAGGAAAGACTTGGTCACTTGGTCACAACTGTTATAGGTGAAGCTGTAACACAGTCTCTATTCTAAGCCCTTATTTTCAATACCTCTCTGAAAAGCTGAAAAATGGAGAACTGAAATTCAACCTATTTGGCTTCCCTAAAGGTAACATTGAATTTTTAAATACAGTCCATACTTTGAATGAGAAGACTAAAAAAAGTTTCCTATATAAAAAAGTAAAAATTTTCTTCTGACCTTTTAATTTGAACAGCCCTGCGGCCAAAGTGGGTGAGATTTGAAAGTCAATTGGTTTTGATTTGAATTATAAGCATTTGAATATCACACACTGAGAGGTACAGTAGAATTGTAGTTAAGCTCATTAAAAGCATGCAGGTATGGACGGACATTTTATTAACTGAGCACTACGAACTTCTTAAGTCCTCAGAATGGTCATGAGTTCCAAAAAAACTATAGGAGAATTACAATCTGCTAAAAGGCAGATTCGGTTTTACCAATATGTTCACATTCCCACCGCCTTGGAATTGCATTTTCCAAACCACACATTGCAAGTTGTATTATCAAGACACAGCTCATCACATAAACAGGTGGAAGAAGGAAAGCTAATGCTTTCAAAACTTGCCCACACTTAGGCCCAGATTTTTCAATAGAGCACAGTTCAGTGGACACAATAATGTGCTGTACAAGCATGCCCCTCTAAAGCTTTTTGATTTAGCTGCATAAAAGAATATGAGAACAAGATGAGATACTGCAAAGGTTGTAATGGGAGCTCCCCAAGGAGTGCTGAGCTCACCTTTCAGCTGAGTTGCCTAAGGTTGGGTGTGAGGTCAGTGGCTATGCTGGGAACAGCCCCGAGTCCAGGCAGTGGAAATCACTTTCTGTTCAAATCTGGTTCTTGTAAAGAGCACCCAGTGAGACCTCTTACGTACCCAACATCTCTTTAAATGCAAGTCTGACTTAAGTCTGATTGTAAAGACTCCCATACTCTCCAGAGAGAAAATCCCACGGGTAGTTATGAAGGGCGTTTTTAGTCCCTCCGGCAATATATCTTGGAACACAGTAAAGGTGCTCAGTGGTAGGTTGTACACTTTTCATACTTCCAGTCTCAAGACAGAACTCATTTCCAACAAACATAGCCTCTGGGCTCAGAGCTTAGAGGAAGAGAAAAAGGAGTTTCTGATGTAGTATCAACCCCCTTATTGGTACTGTTAAAAAATAATTTTTCACTGTTCCTTTTATTTGCCAGCAAATAGGTGGCTGCTAGGTGTGGTATAACTTAGAGTAATGCAGATGCTCTCTGGGCAAGGACAAGTGTCTCAGGGTAACATTCCCCCCTCCTGGTATATCATGTAGTTATCTCACCCTTTATGTTTCATGAGTCTTTTTCTGCAAACTGGGAACTTTCTGTGTGCCTGCCTCTGTTAACTATGTTGACATTGGCTCACCTTACCATGTTGAGAGACATATGAAAATTGGTAATTAACAGTAACCTGGTTTCGGGACGGGGGGAACAATTGTATATCATGTGCCTGTCCATAAGCAGCAGAGGCTTTGGATGTAGTTTTCTGAAAATAAAGCCTTTGTCCCATTTTAAGCTCATTTCATTCCTTCCCAAGAAGTGAAATACTGTTATTGCTGTGATGGCGTCAAGTCATCCCTCTGTATTATTCTACTTGTTCCATCACAGACTATTCTCGCCAGGGAGCTCATTTGTATTCTCTTGCTTTCAGGTCATCTGACTCTTACTTTGTGTCATGGATTTAACTTTGCCTTCTCTTTAGCATAAATTAAAATGTTACTGTCACCACCAGCCTGAGCCCAGAAACCACAAGTGTGACTATTTAGCAACCTACTTTAAATTCAAGAAAAAAAAGCCCAGCACCTAAATATTTTATGGTTAATGGCCATTTAGCTGAGAGCTAAATCTAAATATACAGGATAATGCTTACTATCGCTAGTGCCGTACGCTGTTCCTTCTGAGTATTTGCTGATACTATATTTAGAAATGCATTTTTCCATTTTGAGAAAATATATAGCTTCACCTAGAAGGGCAGTTTGGGCTCCACTTGGGTCAGTCACTTGCATTAGCATAAAATTGTAAAGAGTATGTTGCTGCACATATTTTGACGGTTTTCCTCAGCGCAACTCGGCTTCTCTCCTTGCAGTGCTACAGGAAAATAAGACCATGTAGCTGGCTGCTGAAGTGCTTGGTTGAGCATAGGTTCCCAGCTCTCAATTTAAGCTTCGTTTTAAATGTTTGCCCCCAACATAGGCACTTTCCCCTTCCCTCATTCTCTAGGTGAAATGGCCTGGCCAGCTTCAGCAAAATTACTTTTCTAGTGACACTGCTGCGACTGTGGAATCGTGGCCAGAGATCGAACAGGGGTGCAAGCTGTCACCTGGTCTCCGGATGATGAGGCCGGAGTCAAGATTTCCCTCCGGATCTCCCCTGAAACCTCTACCAGCGCAGCTTACCTGCACGCCCAGACCTGCGCGACTGCTAACAAGTCTCCGCTGCCAGTTCAGTCATAACCGGACTGATTTTCTCTGTGCAAATGCAAACCGACTCAGCCTACTCCGGGAAGGCTGGAAAACGCCGCGCTAGCTGTAGTCCCGGGGACAGCCTCTCCGCCTTAGCCGACT